CTCCTTCCTGAGGGACTACATTTCTACTTTCTTTTTTTCTTTTTTTTTGACTGACTGCATCCTGTCTGTCCTTTTCCTCTTTTCTAACAAAAATAAAACCAAAAAAACCCCCGACTATCCTTAATCTTTTACTTCACATCGTTACATGTTGTTTTCCATTGCTTATTTTCCTTCATAAAGAAAGCAGAAAACTTTTCCCAAGCAAACAAATAATACTGATGTCTATATCCAGGTGATGCAGTGGGATGTACAAAAGCAATTTAGGGTAAATTGTTAAGCCATACTTCTCCCTGGAGAACGACAGCCATAAAGCTTATTTTACTCATTTAATTAGCATTTCTTCAAACCCACCAAAACAACTTTTGAAAGTTAGAAACCAAAGTAAAACCTGAATCCATTAAATTGAGGGGAAAGTTTCACTTTGTTTGGATCATAGAGGCATTCAGGGACACAGAGGGAAAACTACACCTTCAATCCTTTATCCAGACCTTTTTGACTCAGCAGAGCAGTAAAGACGAACATATCAGTCTTTCTCTCCCTCTGTTGGAGCGCTCAGCTAAGGGTCAGCCAGACCGACTGCTCTTACAATGACTGTTTGGCCCTCAGCAGGCAGCGTCAGAATATACTGCTTTGATTCACGCAGTTGACTCAACCAAGCGCTTAAACTTTGCTTCTGTGATTTACGGTATTAAAAAAAATATATCAATAAACAAACCAGTACATTCACATAAGTTAACAACGGTGCAGACACTATTTGGCGTAAACAGCTGTGTTTATGTTTTCAGTTGGGATTTTTTTATATGAAAATACAACAATTGAAGACAAAATAAAAACAAAAATCTTACAAAAACCAAAAAAGACTTCCGCAAAAATATATCCCTGATTAAATTGGCTTTAACTGCCGTTTTCATCATGTGTAAAACAGGTTGATGAAATGTGGCATCAACATATTCTAACAAGTTTAACATGCAGACAGTAGTTGGTTAATGAGAGCACACCTGCATTTTGCTGCTCGAAGCTGTTCACCTTACAGATCTAAAATGTATTTATTTATATTTATATGACTGCCACATTGGTCTCTACTGTAAGCCTGGAAAAAACAGCTGAGATCTTTTGCAGCCCAATGACCAGAATTACACAGCAACAGGTAGGGAAGGAGCACAATCCAACCAGGAATAGACAAATTCAGTCTCTAAATTTGCTCTAACATCTAATAAATAGCACAACAAAATCTTAGAAAACATGAAGGAAAATGAAAGTGCAAACTTTTAAGAACTTGGCATATCTTAGTCATTTCTTTTTGGGGGCACTACTGCAAAATATGCATTTAAAATGCAAAAACGAAATGTTATGCAAGCAACTAATTAACCAGAGTTTCTGCCTCAACTGCACCACAACAGAATGACGAGTATGCTCATAGTGTTATTACAGTAATGCGACAATCACCTCTAATGGTGCCACTTCTCTTAAACGTACTCCTCTATTTTATGATATTCTGAAAATAGCAAAGAAAAGATTAGCTCATACATTAAGGTTGCTTCTGTTAGCCTATCAAAGCAGCTTAACGACACATTGACTTTAATAGAAACTGTTAAGTTTCAGATTTCATCGTCAAACATTGTTAAAACCAAAATAATCATGTTTTTTTTTTTTTTTCCTTTAAGACTAAAAATATAAGCAGATTAGGGCCCCCACTAAGGATCATTTTGCTAATCGACACATCTAAAGATTTATTTGCAGAATTTAAAATTTAGGTGAAACTAAAACTTTTCCACTTGAAGAGGTTTGAATAGGGCATATTGAGGAAAGAACACAATATTTTTATCTTTTTTTTTTTTTTTTTTTACAATTTTGGTATAACTACAGCTACATGTTGGTTGCTCCGTCAGATTAAGGCATTTTTAAAAGCCTCTATACTCAGATTACAAACGATTATAACTAACAATTGCTATGCTACAATTAATAGATTACTAAAATAGTCATTTCAATATTTATTATTTCAGTAACCGACTAAGCATGATTAATCCGATTAATTGTTTAAGCCCTAGAGCACGTATTTATAGCAGAATCCAGAAACTCAAGTTCTCCATTTATCTAAAACAATGATGGAGCTTTCTATCTCTTTGCTCTTTTCTTTGACAAGATGCTAAAGTGTGCAGGCTGCAACAGCAGAGATAAAGTCTGGCATGTCGGTTTACGAAGAATGACTTGGTCTGAGGATCTAATAAAATCAATCATCATCATTCAGCTCACATAAAGCCAGAAAAATAAAATTGTTCCTCCTATGCAGGAGAAACACCAGAAGGAAATCACATTCATAATTAAGAACCTTAGATTGCGATCAGTGAGAAGCAGCATTAATTATCATGGCTGTGAAGAGGAATGAGTGTTTTATGGAAATCTATTGCATGAAATGACATGCACCTGCTGTTCCATGGAAAACTGAGACAAATTTCCTTTAGGAAAAAAGCTCAAGCAAACATTTATGCAATGATTCCTCACCGATGATGAATACAGCCTCAACAGGGAATAAGGTGAATCTTAGGACAAAACAAAGATCAGGCTAAAATAAGCCCACTCTCAGTCCCAGACTGTAACCGTTGAGCTGTTGTCAATAAAAAAAAAAGGTTTGGAGAGTTATAAATCAGAGTCTCAGGGGTCTCATTCATCGGCCGGACTGGATCGTGGACTGAATGTGGCCTATTTTAAACATGTGTGAATGCCTCTGGCTCACCAGGGAGAAAGGCCTACTAAGACTAGTTCTAAATCATTATACATGGAGCGGCCTATAAGCACTTATATCAATCCAGCCGACTACTGATGATTATGTAACACATGGACTCTTTTCATCACCCACCTGAAAAAAAAAGAAAACAATTCACAGAGCGGCTGACAGGACTCCAACTGAGGTAAGTAGGGTGGTGCACCTGCAGAGCAGCCAGCAGACACCTGCCAATCCAACAAGTCCTGCAGGTTTAACACACTGACACACAGGAGGCCACTGCCCTGCAGCAAAAAACAGGGGTGTAGCAACTGATAACCATCACTCCATCTGCCAATGAACTCTCATGCAGGCTGACGCCGCTTTAAGTCATTAGAGACCGATTAGAAGATTAGATCTTTATCTTCAGAAGCAATCAGGAAGATAAACCCCAAATACATTTTTAGCTGGAAAACAATTTTAATAGATGCATAAATAATTGCAGTAACCACGCTAAACGGGAGGGAAAAGAAGCTGTTTCTGGTTGCATTAGAGGGAGATTAACCAAATGATATAAGAAGACAGGTCAGGCTCTGAATAGAAGCGTAGTGATGGGATTACCGGCGTTAAGAGAGAGCACCATATGACCTTCTGACTGTTAAGTTTGTTAAGAGCGACACTGGCCTGGAATCTGTGTTGTTATCCAACCTTTGTTTAAAAGCAGCTACAACCAGCTAAGTCTGGTCTAGGAATCCTAAAATCTCTCTTTTACTGGCTTCCTAAAAACAACAAAACAAAAGAATCTGAGCAATAAAACTGTGTAATAGGGTGTTAGATTTCCTAAAAGCTCTTATGATTAACTTTATTTCATCATAACCTCTAATAAACTTCTGTTGTGGGTTTGTTTTGTTTGAAAAGTTCCCTGATGATGGAAAAGTCTGGCACTGCAAAGATCGTTAGTGAAATTGTGGGATCTGGCTGACCTTAAAGCCAAGGGAAAGAAGCTGACCTGGGCGGGAGAGAGACGGGATATTTCCAATCCTGCCCAACAATGGGAGCGACGGACAGATAATTCAACAAGCTGCATTAAGGGTGTTTTATTGAGAGGGAACCCGCTGAAACATGACAACACTTTCTGCAGGATGCAACATGCAAACAAGATATTTTTTTCTCTGCCAGTTAAGGTCTGATGTTAAAACTACATTTACTTTATTAACTCAATATATAAAAAATTAACTACAGACCGTGCAGCTTCTAACTGCAGCTTAGATTATATTTGTTTACAGGACATCATATTAACTTTTTTATCAATTTTTATCCTAAAAAACCAAAGACTTATAAGTAAACTGCAATCATTTAAGTGATAAAGGATTAATAAAACAATTGGGAAATAATCTTTAATGACTCAGTTTATCTTTTCACAGTCACATATCAAACGGGCTGTAACAAGGTCTAAGCAGGATGACTCATGAATCTTTGTAAACATTTTTGTGTTACAGGTGTGAAGAATGCACAGTAAAATGTGAACACCTCACCTTCCTCCGCTATGGGAAATGATCAGGACGTGACTAATGTGTCAGAGGTTCCAGTTCCAGACATATCATGCATATGATGCATCCTCATTCTTATCATCAGACCTGGACTGCTGCCCAGGACAAACAAATGCCTTTTTTAGGTCAACTTTAATGTTGAATTATATACAAGAAGAATTATATATAATTCAACATTAACTTTAATCTTGAATTATATATACAAATAATTAATTTGATTTCCTACCATAGTTACCAGAGTGGAATGAACTGGATTATTATTTTTTTTTTTCTCTCATTCCTAGATAATCTGTTTTGAGTTAACACTGGTAATTTGGTAGAATATAGTTAAAGATAAATACAAGTATGTTTATTTGTTATTAGAAAAAAAAAGTTTCCTTCCTCAAGTATGCATTTTTATATATATATATATATATATATATATATATATATATATGATCTACACTTTGGAGTGATTATTTTATTAAAAAACAAAAACAATACTGATAATCTGTTTTTTTTTATCTGTATAGAAATTGAAAACTTGTAAGTATATATATTTTCTGTACTGAAACATTGTAGGATTACTATGCATATCTCAATCTAATTTTCGTGTATGTTATCAATAAAAATAAAATAAACTTTAAGTAAATTGTAAGTATGCCAATGGAAGATGTTTGACTGGGTGCATGCTGTAAATAACATTACAGAGTAACAGCCATGTGGAAAGCTGGTCCTGGTCTGGTTAACAGTATCAGAGGAAGCCTCACCAAAGCCCGGAGCGAAGACTCGTCCAGCGCTGAATATGTCTCCAGGGACATCCTGATGAGTCCAGGTGAGACTGAGCTAGGAGGTAAGAGATGAATGGATGGAGTCTTTGATCCCCGATCAACAACGTGCACCACCTGCACAACTGGCGATTGGTTTCTAACTGCTCCTTCTTTTTCTTCTATTGTGAACTTCTTCCACGCAGACAGGATTTTTTTTTTATAGCCAAACTAAGGTTAAAAAGCTCTGATGTTGCGCGTTTAGAGCATATTTTGGTAAGACTTTCCTGATCCCACTGAAAGGAGAAGCAACCCAGGTTTAAGTCCACAGGACAGTGGCAGCTTTTTGAACTGAGAATTCCCACAGAAAGTTCAAACTCCGCCCCTCTGGCTCCTCCCGGCGTTCATTTAAAGCGCACCATCGTGCGGGAAGAAGTGAAACTGCGGCTCTGTATGAGGAGCAATCAATGCCCTTTCAGGCGAATTTCTATAAAAATGTTATGAGCAGGTATCACCAGAAGAAATCTATGGAGGACCAACTCTGGCATATTTAAAAATAAAAACATAAATAAATAAATGCTCAATAAATAAATAAGCATACAATTAATTAACCCCTGAAAATATAATAAACAAATAAATGTAGGTAGAAATTAAATTATACAGCGAGACATAAATGTATGAACTTTTAAATAGCTTTTTTATTTACGATTAGATAAATAAAGAAGCTAATTAAAAGAGACATATAAATTTGAGCATTTATTTATTTCTGTATTTATTTTTAATCAATCAATCAAGTTTATTTGTATAGCCCTTTACAATAGCGAAATGGTACCCAAAGTGCTTTACAGCAAAGCCATAAACAATACATAACACATACAAAACATACAGATACAATATATATATATATACGTATATGCCATATTAAATATGCCAGAGTTGGTCCTCCATAGAAACTGCCACTACATTTCAGTCAAATGTTGTATTTTCTACTCTCCCCCATTTTAAGGAAGCTGCTAGTTAAATGTTCCTTTTGGCTCAGCTTAGATTTATAATCCTCTGTTGCCGTTTCTCTTTCTTAAAGCCCTTAGGACTGAATTTGGACACTGTTTTAGATCTGCATCACATAACACAAATGTGAGAAACTCAGGGCAGATATTATTTGTAGTTTATAATTTTGTTAAGTGTTAGTTGTTGCCCTGTGACCAAGTTGTTCAGTGGGATAAGTTCTATTATCAGTTGCAGTTTCTTACTGCTCAGAGATTCTATTCCACAGTGAAAATATGAGGAGAATCAAAACACTCCTGTCTTCTTTTTCTCTTTAAATAAAAAATAATAATCAAATTAGCTTTCCTTATTTTTTGTGCCATTATATGCTGAAGTTCTTTACAGGTGGTGCAGTATCTGTAGCAGGTGGTTCTACACATCAATACATCAGGTTTCTGAAAGTTACAAGGTTCTTTGAAATTACTCTGAAAATCATACAGAAATGCACGGATGTTAGAAAATGTAATTTGTACTATTGAATACTTCAGTACTTTTAAATAGATGTGATTTTGAATGCGTATTATCAAAAGTGAGTACTTCAATACTTTAGCCTGAGTAGGTGTTTGACCAAGTAACTTTTAATTGTATTTGAGTAAGATTAGAATAGCAGTATTAATACTTTTGTCCACTGTTGTCCACATTGCTTAGAGTTTACAGGTGTGTGGCTCACTTAAACTTAGAAATGTGCTCTTGCTCTGTTCTTTTTTTTTTTTTTTTTTTGCCCCCATGAAAAATGCCTGACCCACCCCTGCCCCTGGGTAAATTTCGTCGAGAACTGCCACTGGATACTGCAGTCGCTCTAGGGTGACATCATTAAACAAGCGTTGCTCGCACAGATGTCTGAAATCTTTATTCTGGTTTGGAAAAAGGTGCCAAAGGTAGCATTTCATCATATATTGTATATGCCAATAGAATAGTTTAGAAGGCTTTAGAAAATGTGTTTTATAGAACCTCTAAACTTTTGTTTTTGCTGAATTTACACTGAAGCTGATTATTTACAAAAGCAGGGTATATACAGGAAGGAGGAACTCTAATTTAATGCTTTTTAATGCTCTTAGAAATAATTTTTATGCCAGTACCAATAATTACCCATTACTCTCATATGTATATAAAAAAACATGGCCAAATCCTTTGTAATCTTTACCATCGACAGGCTGCAGCCATGTCCCAATTTTCCCATTTTCCAGCTTTTTCTTTGCCTCGAGCTTCTGTTCCGAAAACATACGGCTTTATGATCAACCAGGAGCAGTTCCACGCAAACATGTGGTACCAGTTAAATCTGATATATTTGACAAACATTTTTTTTTTTTTATAAAGCATTTTACTGTAAATGCCATGATAATCACATTTAATGAATTGTAATGCCAATTAAGGCCTTAATTTAAAAAACAATTTAATGACTTTTAATGACCCGCAGAAACCCTGTAAAGAGGGCTGTGTCCCAACACTCACGCTTCCACCCTTGTGTTCCTCAACTGCACATCCTCATTTATGGGTTCAAGGGAATAGTGTGTCCCAATTCATTACAATGTACAAGATGAAGTTATGCTACCCACAATTTACTGCAGAATGTGAATTCTTGAGTAAAAATGGCAGAATTATGGCGCGGTATGGCAATCAAGCTACTGTTCCTAAAAAATTGTAGTGCAATTACAGATACAATCTGATGATTAATAATGTAGTTATAAAATGCTTGTGTTTTTGTTTTAAAATAATCTTTTTGTATCAAAAACTGCAGCTGGTTCTGCCATTTTTTACATTGAACTTATGCAGGGGTGGAAGATGACATTACCTTCACTCTCCCAATTCTCTCATTTTGCATCATTGTAACATTTTACATGAATTAGAGCAGGGGTCTTCATTGTTTTCCAGGCCAAGGACCCCCAAACTGATGGCAAGATGGAGCGTGGACCCCCTAATTTAACATATTGTATGAAATTGTGTTAAATAAAACTGGTCCTATAGTCACTCTATTACATATAGATTAATGTAACCAAAGTAATTTCTCCCTGGGATTAATAAAGTATTTCTGATTCTGATTCCTGGTTGATGGGACAGGTGTTGTGAATGAAACGGTGCCAAGCTTGAAAGAGCTCCTGTGTGTTGCTGAATGTGTGCATTGATGACTGAAATACATCTTCTCCCTCCATTAATCTGTTTACTACAGTGTGTTGAATTCATGTTAATGTCTATTTAAAGACATTTCAATTAGTGGAAAAAATTGCAGGGGGAATATAAAAAAAGTCTAATCAACCAAAACTTTTGTGACCCCCGTGCAGTACCTCCGGGGACCCCCTAGGGGTCGCGGACCCCCTGTTGAAGACCTCTGAATTAGAGGGTAACTGAGTAGATACCTGGAAAAGGTAGAGGTAAATGTGGGAGGAGGTGCGTGAGAAGAAAGTCTAACACACAAAACAGAAAGTACTGAAGTATCATCAGCTTGTGGGATCCAGAGTAGCACGATAGCGTGCAAAGGCAACACTTTAGATAGGGGGGTCACAAGGACGTAAACTAGAAATGTTTGGGTTTTTTTTTTCAAAACAACTGTAACAGAAGAATACGTGGAGCAGATAGAATTTTACTCGTTTATAAAATAAAGATGAAGTGATTTTTCCCAAGGTTTGAAAACATAAAAAAAAATTTGTTTTTTGTTTGTTTGTTGTTTATTTTAACAGTAGGCTGACGGGAAATAGGGTATAAGAGAGGGGAAGAGACATGCGGAAAACGACCACAGACCGGATTAGAGCTGGGGTCGCCCGCGTCGAGGACTAAGGCCTCCATACATGTGCCGTGTGCGCTAACCACTGCACCACCAAAGCACGCCCATTTGAAAACATTTTTGGTTTAAATTATTTCCAAATTTGAAATGATGACCTGAATAAATTTGGCCCCTCAGTGCTTTTTAAACAAACAATTCAACATATTTGAGTGGACTTATGCATATAAATTTATACCAATTGTTGCAGCTCATGTATGGCATCCATACTGCAGCATCACCTAAACACAAACCACATAAATAAGTAGAAAATCACATTATGTTGCAGACCGCCCACAAAAATTAATATCCAACAATCTGAGCCTTGAAGCTTATGGAATAAATAAAATAATGACACCATCCTTATCCTTATTAAAATATTTAATCACAGCACAAGACAAAGGTCACCACATCAGTTGTTTAACAGGAATATTCAGCTGTGCGCATACGTGCATTAAATCCACTGTGAATGTTGTTCTCCTGGATTAGCAGCAGCTCTACCAACTAAACCCTTCCTGGTTTACTACATACATCTACTCTGTTAAACACAAAAGAACATATTATGCTTTTAAAGCCATCTCTATATAATAAAATATGACTGGATCTATAGGTTAGATTAATAAACAAAAAAGCATCACTGCTTAGTGAGAGGAAATCAGGAAAGACAAATGTTACAGAGACAGTTACAAACAGTACAGTTACAAATAGTACAGAATGGGACTGATGCTAAAAATATTCCTACGCTCTTGGTCAGACAAACATAAATAAACAAATCTAATCTGTTGCCGGTAGAATCTTTTAAAGAGTCTCTCCACGTGCTTCATAAAGGAACAGAAACAAAGGAGGACAAAGGAAGAATCTGGAGGAGCTGGCACACGACAAGGAAAGCCAGACGCTGCTGGCAGCCAAAACATGGTGCAGATTAACTTGAACTGGGTCTGCTTTAGATGACCTCAGTAATCGCCTATAAACCAGAACTCATACAATAAAAAAAACAAAAAAAAACAATACAATGTTAATCAAAAATTTTTTTTTTCATTTATCAGATTTTACGTTTAAACATTGACATGAAATCAACTTAGAGATGGTTTGTAAAAGTCATTAGAGTATAAACGGTGAGATACTTAAGTTTTCAAAGGCACTTAGGTGGTTATACCTTTACTGTACAAAGTGTGCAAAAACACATAAGGGAGAACTTCCAGCTCTGACTCCTCCTACGGCTCCTCGTTCTGCCTCTTGGGTGGCTAGAGAGAGAAAAAGGTGCAACATTTACAGAGACAGCAGAAAATCATGAGAAAGTCACAAGGATTCCTTCAAAACAAAACATAAATGTCTCTTTAAATTACTAAATTGACATATTTATGTTTGTAGCCTAATCACAAAAATCAGCAATTAATTTTCTAAGATTAACAAGCCTTTCGTCAGATAGCAGGACGTAACTAGAAAAGCACTCAGAGAGCGAAGCCCTCTGCCAAGTACACATAATGGGACGTCCACCTTAAATTAATACCCGTATTCACAGAATCTCTCAAAAAAAAAAAAACATCCTGGATGCAGATGGTCATCTGGATCATTACCAAAATGCACTGGAAAAACAAACTAAAAATAAGTAACAAGGTCTTAAATTGCATGTATTTACCCTTAATTTGAGTAGTTATTAGTATTTTTACTCTTAAAATAAGATATTTAGAAGAAATGCACTTGAAATAAGACAATGCAATTGTGGTTTCTTATTTTAAATGTGAATTGACTTGTTGTAATAGCAAAATGTTTCTTTTACTTCCTCGATCTAAGAATAAATGCACTTATTTTAAGAACTATATTTTGATTTTTTTTTCCAGTGTGGAATCAATTGTTTCCAGTCACAATACACACCTTCTCTGAAAACGTTTGCTAATTCCGGCCATAACTTTGTTTAAAGTTTTTTTGAAAACAATGACACCATCACCAATGAAAACATAATTTCTTTAGCTGAGGTAAATATTCCATCAAATAAGAGAGAGGAGCTGTATTTCAGAGGACAGTGGATCCCCCCAGTGTTGTCTAATACTTAAATAAAGACCAAAGTATCGTAAATCAAACAGGAATCAATGACCCAGAATGCTCTGTTGACAAAGTAGCGTACAGAGCTGGAACACCTGTAGAGTATGGAGGAGTCAGAGGGACAAGCTGGATAAAATACCTGGGTTTAAATCACTTTATTGTTGGAAAGTAAAGTCATTTTCTATTCTATTCTAATACTTATTACTATTAAGAAGTCTTTATATATAAGAGTAATTTAGATTTCCATACAATGGGCTGTAGTTTCCAGAGCATGACTCACCTCCCATCACACCGTTTCGAACCCAAGGTGAAATATTTTGCATAATAAGGAATTAGTTGAAACTTGCTCCTAAATTACTTAACCTTCTGTTTAATAATGTTATTATTGTAGCTGTAATAATCAATATGTTTGATACCTTTATCTCTAATAATTGTTGATTTTCTGTTGACATTAAATTTTACAGTAAATGGTGTGAAACCATCACCCTGTGCTGCTTTTATCCTATGACATAATACAGTGAATATCTCAAACTAGCTGAGACGACGTCTGGCAGCACTATCTGTACTGTACTAAGTATTACACTAAATTACTCATAGTCTGAACTTCCTCTAGGAAACTGAACAGCCTCTAGGATGCCGCTATGTGCTTCATAATATGACTCATCAATGACATTGGCCTTTTAACGCTTGTAGCCACAAGGATTATGGAGGACTTGTGGCATAAAAACGGAGATTCCTGAACCTTCCAGCCGACTCATGTCTTACAAATAAAACAAGGAGATATAGAACAGAGAGATAAGGTTAAGGTTTTAAATAAACAGCTGCCCTCCCTGGAAGAGTTTGCATCACACTATGCCTTTGATTCATGGTAACATTATTAAAGGTTGGCCATTTTAAACTGTTGATGTTAAAACTTGGAAAAGTTCATCTGAGACCGATAACAGGGTTTATACAGGAATGAGTAATTCTTACTTAATGCTTTTTAATGCTCTTAGAAATAATTGTAATGCCATCAACAAGTACCCATGACTCTCATATATCAACATATTCTCATTATGAAATCGTACGAAAAGTTATGCACACTATTTCGTACGTTTTTGGACGTTTTCCCTCAAAAAACCACATCAGTATGCATGCGCTGGCAGACAGCAAAAAAAAAGCAGATCCGCGGACGGATGTAAAAATGGGAAAAACAGTGCAATCATCACTTATTCATGTCTCTAACTACGTCGCTTGCTGTTTTATATCTTAGGGTTAGGGCTAATTGTAATTTATATTCTATATTCGTGAATGGTGCGTCAAATGCGCATACGACGAAAAAAATGTACGAAATTACGGTGCATAACTTTTCGTACGATTTCACACGCACTCATAATGAAAATAGGTTGCATATATATATGGCAAATTCCTTAATCTTTACTGTTGGCAGGCTGCAATTCCTCGATTTCCAGCCACTTTTGTTGAAGTTTGCATTTTCCCCATTCTCTAGCTTTTTCTCGCCTTGAGCTTCTTTTCCAAACATATGGCTTAATGATCAACCGGAAGCAGTTCCACACAAATCTGAAAATATATTGCGATATAATATATTGCAATATATTTGCAAATATATATATCGTTTAACGAATTGTTTTTATAAACATTTTTTCTCTAAATAAAGCATTTTAAATGCCATGATAATCACATTTAATGAATTTTAATGCGAATTCAGGCCTTAATTAAAAAATATATTATTTAATGACTTTTAATGATTTTTAATGGTCCGCGGAAACCCTGGATAAAACTATGAAAAAGTATTAGGAGCTAATTTGGCTGGAGTCTGAAGAACATTAATAATACAAATTTCTCCAAATATGTAGCTCAGCCTCTCTGGGGAGTTTGTGACCCAACTTAGAAGCACAAACTCTGGAGCATTTTAAATCTACTTTAAAGACAAATTTCATGAGTAAAATGCTGTCGTTTTTCAAATAATTGTTCTCTTTTATATTTGTATTCCTTATGTATTTTTCTGTTTATCTGTGCTGTGTTGATTCTTAAAAAAACTTAGCTAAATTGCCTGAGGAGCACTTCCTACAGTTGAATTGAAAATCAGGCTTTATTATTAAATTTGTCCCTGACCTCTCTCTATAATTACATGCTGTCACACACTATCAGATAAAACAGCTGAGATTGGAAACATGTAGCCTTCATCAGTCAAGATCACGTTAGAGGTTGGTGGTGACAGTCTGGATTAAAGGGGAACGCTGTTTTTTTTTTACATTGGGCCCTTGATTTCACGTTATTACATCATGTTTTACTCACCCATACTAGTTTTGTGTCATTTGGAGCTGTTCTGAAGATATTCCGTTAGGTTATATCCAAGTAACGTCTTCCTATGGACAACTAGTTGAAGGCACAAACTAAGGGCCCGATGTAAAAAAAACGGTGTTCCCCTTTAAGTTCCTGTGAAAGATTTCAATTTTTCTTCAAACTTAAAGTAAATTTACAGTAGTGACAAATAAAGCTTAGAATAGACCCTTCTATAGTAGTGAGCTGTGCCACATCTGCCTGTACAGTGTCCTTGGGTGTTGTGATAAGGCGCTTTCAAATAAAATGTATTATTATTATTATTATTATTATTATGTTGGGTAAAGGAATCAGCAGAATGATAAAACAGAATCAAACCTACCTTTGTTCTGCTTTCTGGTCCTTCTTTGTTTGCTGGCACATAGAATCTGGTGGAAAAAATACCCCCCATTTTTTATTTTAATAAGTTGAAATGATTATTACATGTTTTTACATTAAATTTAAGACATATTTCACTTAAAGCTTTGTTGTTTTTACCCTGTTGCTGACGCAGAGCCAGCTGTGTCATAGTCAGGTTGAAAGAAATCTGCTCCCTCTGTTTCCCGGGATGTCCTCCTTTTCAATCCTTCAGAGGATTGGGGAGCTGTTGTGTCCCAAAAGTCTTCATCCAAGAAGATTGATATATATGAGGGCAAAGGTCATGAGTTGGGGAAAAACCCAGAAAAAATACAAATGATTTATATAAGTATCTACAGTTCCATCCACATGGTATCTGCAGGCACATTTGGTGAAAATGTGCCGGAAACTTTGAAATAAATTAAGCATCTATCACAGGTATTATGGTAAACATCAGTGGTGTTCTCTTTGCCAAATGAGCTAAACATTATGATTAAAGAGCTTTAAAAAGGCTAAAACAATAACATCGGAGAAAATACAGATAACAAAACCGTTAAGTTTCAATTTTAATTGTTTGTCTCTGAATGACTGTTGCAGGCTGAGAACAATCACTCCCAGGGCCTTGAATGGCCCACTTTGAACACCACTGGTATACATCCAAAAACCTGCAACAGATCAGGAGTTTTCCAAAAAAATAAAAAATACAGCAAGACACTGGATTGGGCCTACGCGCAAGAACATGAAAAATCAACAACTTTTTTTTAACAGATTAAAGACTATAATTATAATACTCCTGAAGTCTGTTATTATTTAAATCTTTAATAGTTACAATGAGTCTCATTTTACCTCTGTGCTGTCCTTTTCTCTGAAAATCTGAAGATGATTGTCCATAAACATCTTTATCATGGCTCAGAGGATTTGGACTGGATGGTTTCGGTCTGTTGTTCAGCTGCTGGCCGTCCTCGGTCCGCATGTCACATTTGTCCTTGGTGTAGGAAAATAAACAAGACAAAACTCAGAATATGTTGATAAAAGATAGATGTCTCTCACCAATAATAATATCAGATATTAGCCACACAAAAAAAAAAACTGTAATGAATTATATCAGCCTGCATCTAAAATCTCTGAAACTGGGAGGCTGATAAACTTGGAACACTGTTTAACATTATGTAGCCCGTTGATTATCATTACATGGGTCAGTTATTCTCATACCCATCATTGCTGACTTAAGTTCTGTTTTATCTCCTGTCCTCCTATCTTCTAATAATTTATGACTACAAAATAAAAGAAAGCATGTATGATCCATGATAGTATAATGGGTGAATATCGGTATTGTCAATTTTCAAAGCTGCAATATTGGTACAAATAAATTCAACTTTCCTCTGTGACGTTGTTACTGTTTTAGGTTGGATATAATCTGAGAAGCAGATCAGATCAAATTGAGGATCTGACATAATTATTTTAAAGCACAATTTGCTTACAGCCATCCAGTCCATGAATAGTAAAAAACTATCCACGGACAATAATTGTTGATATTAGTTATTAGCGTCAGCAAAAGCTAGAAACCATGAAAAAACAAAAAAAACTTAATTGATATGTGGTATAAGAAAACAGCATTAAAAGTAATGAATGAAAGTACCTGATGGTGAAAGACAACAGCTTCCTCCAGAGCCACTCCACAGAATTCACATGGAATAACCACGTCGCCCTCTAGTGGACTGGCAGGAGGACTGTAAGAGGCCGGGGAGACTGATCGAGGGAAGGTGGGAATGTTGGAGGCCAGCGGGTTCGGAAAGTTCTGCATCATCCCTGATGTATTTCTGCCCATTCTGTCCTCTTTAGGAGGTGAAGACGGCTTCTTGCTAAAAGATTCAAATGCAGAAGCAGGACTGCATCCGGTCTGACACAACAAGAAAAAAAAAAAGATTTATATCTTCATTCAACATGCTTTAGAATCATTAAATTCCTTAAAAGATGTAGATAAAGTCAACATACAAGCAGAAAAACAAGACTAACAGCCTGAACCAAACACAAACTGTGTTTTTACATATCAGGAAATTTTAGTAGTGAGCAGAACTTTTACCAACTCAATCATCAGTGAAATCTAAGAGCAAGCATCAGACACAGCAGCCTTGAACGGTCACATATTATAAAAACTAACAGCATCCCTATGATCCACATTTAGCAGCAGAAGAAGCATCTTCTTGGAAACAATGCCATACAAGTCATATCTGTTCAGGCATTTTCTAACTGATCAATCATTAATTTTACTATCGAGGAATCTAGAGTACACATATTGTTTTCTGACCATACACAGCCTGAGTTGTACAGGAATTGTACTGTCATGTACTCAATGGGAAAAGTAGGGACTTTCTAAATTGTTTTCCCAAGTTATTGATCTTTTTTAATGCAGTTATAGACTTCAATTTGCTTCCAAATGGCCCCATAACTCATGTTTTTCTATAGATGGTCACACTGATGCCATAACTCCATCATCACTTGGTTACTTCTCCCCATTTAGATCCAATGGAAGCATCAAACCTTCAACAACTTTATTGAAAGCAAACCAAACAGAAACCTGTTCAGATTTTGATATAAATTTGTGGGCAACCTCATGCAGAATAAGGTCCTCTTCTGGAAACAACTCTTCACAAAACTCACAAGGAAGCATGGTATCTATAAAAACACAAAGTTAAATCATTAACTGAGTACAGAACAGTGAATTGTAGCAATCATCTGAATTTTTACCTGTTTGTCCCGTGGCCTGGACTGTACCCGTCCCTTCAGTTTGGTTTATGTTTTTCTTGTGGGACTGAGGAAATGAAGAGCTTACTGATGAGTTGGTCTTCTTGTCCTGGTGGTTCCAGATATTCCTCCACATGCTGTCGTCTGCACCTCCGGCTGCTGATTCTCCATCACTCTGGAGGCTGAGGGCCATCATGTAGTCGTAATTGAGGCCTGATGACTCCTCGTCAGGGGGATGCTCACTACTGCTCCCATGAAGAAAATTTTCTTGTCCCAGAACTTAAAAATAAATGAAAAAAACAAAAACAAATCAATTGCATAATTATTAAAGAAAACATTCTAACTATACACACTAACCCAGTGTGGAGCAGCTAACTATAGCTGCTTTACACTGGGTGGAACTAAATCCACTCACATAGGTTGGATGTTGTACCATGAGATGCTGAACTCTTCCAGCCTCCCGTTTCCTGATCCTCGCCTGAACTGCTGTAAGCTGAGGTCCCAAATGGCCGACCAAAGCAATAACCCTCCGCTGCGCTTATGTTATTATTTTTAGGGGCTCCATCTTGGGCTCTTAGGAGGTTTCTAATGGAGTGGGTATCAAACCATTCGTCTGAAGATCGGTTCTCCGCCTGAACGCAGCCCGTCCTGTTGTTGTTCCTCTCTTGGGGAGGTGTGAGGCTCCCACATAAGACTGGATGCACAGCTTTTTCGCGCAGCATTACATTGCACTTGCAGTTTGGGCAAGGTTCGGTGCGTGCTCCGCAATAGTCCTCGTGCTCTTTGGACTGGCTGAAGACGAGCTCCAGCTCACAGTACGGGCATGGGGTCAGCCGCTGGGAGCATTCAGAGCTCTGCAAGACAAAAACCATCAGGGACGTTAACTGGCTTTCATCAGTTTGGTAAAGAAACAAAGGTAAAGTTTAAAAATCAAGTTCCCTTTCTGTACTTGTACTGCTGCTCTACATTGAATAGAATTAGTTTACCAAATTAGGCTTTTCTGAAACAACGGGCCTCGTGTAAACATGTTTTTGTATTCTTGTTGTAAATTTTGCTTACAAGTTGTTATACATCTCCTTACTTATACAAGTGTGCAACATCAGATTCAACCAAGGTTCCTGACTTCAGTAATTGCTCGTAAATGATCCTTTTAAACCTGATGCAGTCCACCTGTGAGTAAGCACAAGTTCCTGAAAAATATAAACCTCTATAATTGCTGCCCCGATATTTCCAAATAAGGCTAAGACTTCCAGCGCTTTTTCATTCACAACAATGGCACTGAAGACAACGAAGAGAGACTTTACCAGTTTTGAGGTTTTGTTGACTGAGAGCCGAGCAGCGTAATTAAATGACCAGTAAAAGCCAAGCAGTGAAATAAATCACACGAGCTGTAAAGGATGGGGTTGCAGTTTTACAGAAGTCAAATTTTAATTATTTAATCCAAACATTGTGTCAATAACATGTTTAGTGAAAGCAAGACAGTCAATGAAAACTGCTGAGTACAACAGAGATGCAACATAGGATGTAAAAGCTTAGCATGAACCAAAACGACAATGCATAATTTCCTTTAAGCACACATGGATACCTGTACTCTTCATCTCCAGACCAAGTCTGCCATCCCTTATCCTACTCTCCATCTCTTTCACACAGCATACAAATGTTAATGGTGAAACTCTAATAGGACAAATTCCGACAGACCCAACCCCAAACATTTCACAGTTAGTGTAATAGCAAAGCCAAGAAGTTGCCATGGAGTGAAATTAATGCTTTGTTATAACGTTAGAAGACTTTCAAGCAATAACATGTTTGTGAATCTCCTTTGTGAACTTTTTATCCATTTTCTGTTCTAGATATCATTTCAATAGTAGCGTGATCTCTGTTTCTTTTTGGGAAATGACAAGAAATTACACCATTTTCACCATGCTAGCTGTAAGTTTAGTGACCAATAGTTCTGTCATAAGCAAAAAAATTTTTTATTATAATTGCAGGCGTGCATAATATATAGTGGTATAGTTTTAAAAAATGGACAATTGCTTCAAAGTAAAATAAATGTGGTCATTTAGTGAAAAACTATGTTTGTATAACAGCTGAGTGATTGAGCAAGTCTCCTACGTCAAGTCTGGAGCACTCGTGAAATTTGTTTGCACTTGAGAGAAGATTGAAAATAGGAGAGAAATAGAGAATGCGACATTTTCTCCTGAATCACTCCTACGAAGGTTTTAAAAACAACTTAGTAAAGGTAGTTTCTAAGAATGCTTCTTTCATTAGGGCTGACTGATTCTAAAAGCCATTTTTGGAGAAATGTTTCCCTAATTTCAAGAAATGTACCTGATGAACTTCGCTTCGATTCTTCTCCATCTTTAATCCACACTTGCATGTAATCTGGAAAACAAAAAGCAATTAAATACTTTTTAAAGCTATCCTCGTCCTGCTTTTATTCTGATGATGCCATCCAATCAAGCTCTTCCTTCCTATTTCCTTTTCCTAAAATAGAACTGATTTAAGGCCCATTGCATGCCTTCTGCATTAATGTCATCTGGAGCAGATCTCTGATCTGTAGCTCAGAAGTAAAATAAACAACCAAAATCTACTAATGTGTCTGTGAAGGTCTGATTAATTTAACTCACGCAGATTCTATTAGGCTGCAGGTTTGTTTTTTGTTGTTTTTTTTCTTTCCATTTTTTCTGTTTAGGCTTAACACAAACATAACAAAAACATGATTATATAACCAAACAGACATGGCTTGAAATGAGGGGAAAAATAAAATACTTCATAATGTTTACAGAGATAATGATCAGCACTTAGAAACTAAAGATTTTAACCTATAAATTATAATTAAGTAAAATACTCAAAAGTGCTAAGTTAACATTTCTTTTGTTTTTATAAACTTAAGCACTATAAAGTGTTAAAGACCTGCAGAGGTGTCAAGTTATAAAGTACAAATACTTCGTTACTGTACTTAAGTACACTTTTTAGGTATTTATACTTTACTCCATTACTTATTTTTCTTCCTACTTCTGACTTCTACGCATTACATTTTCACACAAGTATCTGTACTTTCTATTCCTTACATTTTTAAAACAAACATTACTCGTTACTCTTGGCTTAGCTTTAATGTTCATCAATATTTATTTCATGTCATGTGCGCCATCCAATGCAGATCATTGGCGTCATCCACATCTAGTGAAAACTAGTGTTATTGGATGAGTCATATAAAGCAATCACTCATTGCTTAGTTAAAGGAAATCATCAGAACAGACTGTTTGCACCTCTCCCCTCAGGGAGGAGGCTACGGTCCATACGGACCAGAACCTCCCGCCATAAAAACAGCTTCTTCCCCTCTGCCATAAGACTCATGAACACTATATGTCAGACTCCATAACCTGCCCATGCCATTCACACTGCTGTATTGCACACTGCTCTACCTGCACTATCTTGTACATTTCACTTTTTATATTTATCCATATTTTTATCTTAAGTGTATATATTAGTATATTTTTTGCATGCCTTATACCCTAGTGTTTTTAGAGATTTTTATAATTTTATTTACTATTTCATATATGTTTCATGTTGCACGACTGTACCACAAAAATTCCCTAGTTGTGAACCTCTTCACTAACAATGGCAATAAACCCGATTCTGATTCTGATTCTGATTCAGAAGCAAGCAGGTGTTTTTCAGACTGCAAACGTGAATTGTCTATGTCATGCTACAATGTTGGATTCAGAATAAAGATGTTGAAATGAAAAGGTCGGACACAGGCGACAGCGTATCTGGAGATGGAGACGGAGACCAACAAGACCTCCCTAATCCTTGGCCCCATCTCAAAGAATTTTTCGAAATAGCCGAAAAATTAAGCTTTCAATTCATATAGTGGAATCTGGCTGTTTTTTGTTTTTGTTTTTCAAGGTTACTTTATACTTTAAGTAGGTTTTGGGGCACATATTTTTTTACTTTTACTTGAGTAAAGAGGTCAAGTTGATACTTCCACTTTTACCAGAGTGTTTTTAAACTGCAGTATCTATACTTCTACTTAAGTAACAAATGTGTGTACTTTTGACACCACTGAAGACCTGGTTCTTCTACCTGTGTGTGCTCTTGGATCTTGTGCTCCTGAAGCTCTGAGTGGGGGACTGGCTCCTGGCAAACATCACAGAGGGCGATGTTTCTTCTACAGTGGATCTCATGAGTGGTGAAATTGGCTTCTGGAATGTCATGCTTGCTAATGATATATAAACACAATATATACATATTTAAGTTCAGATGAATTAATCAAACGCACAAGTTATTATGTGAAACTAGCTGACACTTACCAATTGCCACAGAACTGTGTGTTTTTCTCCTCCATGACTCCACTGGTGACCTAAAAAAAAAGCCTTAGCATGAACCACACCATCCGCTAGTGATGACAAAATGGCTACAGTTTAGTAAGGGGTTGTTTACAATCTCACGGAGGCATTCACAGCATCCACTAAGTTTACAAGTGAAACTAAATGTTCATGGTGCGGAGCATAAAATTAGCTCCATGAATCATCAAAAAACATAGCTAACTTTCCAAACTGTAAATAAACAGTTTGTTTTGTTGAACCTAGCAAAACATGTATTACGGAAATAGTCCCTATAAGCACGAATACTCTCGGTTAACACAAATTAACAAATAATTTCGCAGAGTTTTTACCTGTCGGTTGTTTTTAACGAACTACTTAGCTTAAAACAACTTGGCGCAGTTATTGTTATTCTGCGTTTGGAAATTAAAGGGCCGAAAAGAAGCCAACATTATGACCGGTCTCGTTTTGGTTTACGCTTTTGTTTAAGCTTACCTTTGGTCCTTGAATGGTATTAAACCAAACTGCCAGACAAAACAAACTGCTTGAGGATGACAAGAATAGAAAAACTGTGGATTCTCCGCTGCGCCCGTCTCGATAGCTGGGATTTTCTTTTTTGCCCAGAGTTTTGTCTTTCAGGCTGCCTGCTCGTCAGCCAAAAAAAAACAGAAAACACCTAACTTAATATTTCTACCGATGAAAAAGGCATGACTTTCTCTATTTAAAATACAATACCCCTCTAGGTGAGTAAAAAAATGTAATACTGTTGAAATAATTTTCCTACAAATCCTCACATAGAGCAAAATGCTGCAAAATATTAGCTCCTGTTTGATTGGTCAGAAATAATGTGCTGTTGAAAAAGGCGTCGGGTGACACAGAATCCCCCTGAACTTACGTTCCTACATTAAATGACAAAGGGAGAAATCTCATTGAGATTAACCCAGTCAAAATATATTTCACATAATATATGTAAAAGGGACTTAGACCAAGTATCGCTTTTATGGAAAATTATATTTTGACGTTTTTAGAAGCCTAACGTTTAAAGTATTATTTCTATTATTTAAAATTTTTTATTATTTAACAACTTTTCATATCTGTAAGCCATGGTCATCATATCAATATATAAAGGCTTGAATGATTTCATCCTATACATTATGTTTTTTGCCTTCTGAACACACGTTAACAATTAAAAAAGTTCACTTAACCTAAATTGGACGTTTTGAATTGCATGTAACACACCCTAAGTGGAAGAAAACAAATACAGTGCATCAATTTGAACGCAGCCATAGCAAGCCTTACATATGGTTGTCGCAGCATCTTGCTGTAAGAAGTTTTTTTTCAGCAATTAAGATGGATGGCTGAATACAGCCAGGAATCCAGGGAGAAAAGCAGCTGAAGACATTAGAATGATTAAACTCCACATATGGGATCATGTTTGATATCAGTTTGAGTTAATATTAGTCCAAAACACAAACACTGTCGAATAAAAAAAAAAAACAACAACAAACACAGAATTGTCTTTTAGATGTTTATTGAACATTTCATCGATCAATACTGTCAAGAAACATTTTTATTTTATTGTAAGGCACAATTTTGTTCGGGAAAAAAAACACATTTTTTTCATAGGAAACTTTTGAATGTGGTACATTTATCCCCAAAAACGCCCTCTCTGTACTAAATGACCGTCCAGTAATTGGAGCAAAACTGTGAAATATATAAAATAAAATCTTTAACTCCTGCTCCTTATATGCCTTCTCCAATGAAATAGTAAATGTAACCAAGAACTCAAAAAATAATATTGTGAGCTAAAGCAAAAATACACAGTGGCAAAGGATACACCCGAAAAACATTGAGTGGACTTGTTGCTTCTAGACCTTTAAGGGGATTAACTATAATTAAAGTGATTTGGAAATGGTTTCATAAGATTTCAGCTTCACCTTGTTGTTAAAGCAGCCTCTTACCCAAACTATAACTATAAATTATAAGACGAAATTATCCCACAGGTTAGATTCTCGAGTTACAGTTATTAAATCAATCAGAACTGGTCACAAGGTTAATGTAAGTATAGGTCCAATGTGAAGCCAGTAACACATGAATTTTAATAATTAACATTTGGAAGACCGGACATCAGGATGAGGATTAGCTTCGTCGGCTATATGGACAGAACCTGCTGCTGTAGCCAGCATAAAGCCTAACTATGGTAACATCACAGAAAACAAAGACCAATAAAGTAAAAAAAAAAACCTGAAAAAAAAAACTAGCAAAACTACAACCACCTCTGGTGGGAAAAAAATAAAAACACAAAACTTTCCAGCCCAAGAGAGAAAGTACATAAAACAAAAAAGTTGCTAAGGGGTTCAACAGAAATACAGGTCAACTTAAAAGGTCACAATATCTTCATTTTGATGTTAATTCTACAATAAAGCTAATAACAGGTTAACCAAACAGGATGTATAGGCTCTTGATGAGAAGTAAATGTTCAAAATAACATGTGACTATTCGAACACATTCAGGAAGTGTGGAAAACACTATATTGCTTAGAATAAGTAAAATAGCTGCATGATGATGGTTTTTTTTGTAGGGTTTTATTGCAATAATTGCATAACATACCATCTCTTACTATTCAACTGTGCCTTAAAATACTCTGAACAGGAGCAACGTCATCAAAAATTGACTGTGAGCTAATTTATACATAGCTTGTGCATGCATGTGCTTGCCTTCATTTGTTGTGTTGTAACAAGTGCAAAAGCTCACACAAGACCAGGTTTATTATACCGCTTCCTATCCTTCTATTACTCTCCTTTGTCTATATAGGAAAGAAAAAACAATACTGGGATATTTGGTCAATTATTGCAATTACAATAACCCATAGTTAACAAAAAGCATTCAAGTGTTTAGAAAAACCAAACACTTTATAGCATCTCCTGAAAAACAGAAGCTGGTTTCACCTGGAGCGCGCTCGCCTTGGTCCAATATAAAATTCAGCAGATAGCTCCTGAAGCCATTAACCACAGTCCAAAATGTTGTTGCCTTACAACACTTTTTTTGTTTTAGAAGTCAGAGGGTAAAAAGGCTCAAAATCTGTATAGAACAGAAAGAAATAAAAGTAAACATTCAGTACAAACATTAAGGGCCTCCTAAGAAGGCACAGATTATTCTTTACAAGTTCAGGCTACAAATCAGAGGTAGAAAGAGAGAAATGGAAAAGGAGAAAAAAAAAAAAGGTAACTGAAAGGTTGATATATGTGATGACGTGTCTATCTGTCTTTAGATCCAAGCTTCTCGATCAAGTCCTGCAGGGGAGCAAGCTCTCGCCTGTCAATAAGGTTGAACTCCTGCAAAAGGAAGCAGAATTAAAGAGGCATCAGAACACAGGTTCAACATTCGACAATGAGATATTTTAGCTCTCCATGTTTGGGCTAATGTTCAGAGAGTTAGGTTTATTAAGTCTGGTGGCACTGGTTTGAAACTATGTTCCCAATTGTTCATAGCTTTGGTGACCTCAAAAAAAAAAAAGTATAATACAACATAAGGAGATATATATATAATATAAATGAAGACATATTTCAAAACACTGTTTTTCAAAAAGAAAGAAAGAATTCTCACTAGGACCTGGAAAACACTACAAATCATGGCTTCAAATATTTCCAGTTTGTGTAAAAACCCTCTTAAATGTTTTAGAGTAGTTCTTACTATTAACCCTAAAAATCTCAACCAACAGTGTGACCCGTAATTACCATTGATACCTGGGTTATTGTGCTTAATGCAAGATCTGTGCAGATCAAGTTACACCCTGAATGTTATGAGAACCAAAGTCAAATTTAAGTGACCTTTCTAAGACCTAAACTGGGTCATATTACAGTCCCCAGGCCTCCCATGTAGATTGTAGGAAAATGTCAATATTCAAAAAGAAAATGTTGGCAATTTTCTCAAAAGAAAAATCGAATGAGCTGAACCAGCATCATTTCTTAAAGGTTTAATCTTGGTCTATTTTAAAGGTTGGAGCTGGGAGATTCTATTTTCTAAAACAATATCTGTTTTATTGCGATGTAAAAAAAAATAAAATAAAATAAGCAAAAATAAAAAAATCATCAATAGCTAGAGAAATTTAAGGTAATGGGATCTATAAACAACTCCACTACTTCCTGAACTTAAGGCAGCTCTTTTGTTTACAGGGTGAACTAATTAATCCAGGTGTTTCTGGCCATGGTTACTGATATCAGGCACACCTGGTTTAATCAGTTCATTCAGTAGAAAAAGACAACAAAAGAGGCATCTTAATTTCAGGAAGTAGGGGTTGTACATAGAGCCCAGTAATCATATCCTGAACACGGATACCCCTAAGGATTGTAGGACTTTATTCATAGGGGCATCTGAGTGCTCATCCCAAACTTTATTTACACCCTTGACGTTCCTTTATGAACTCACAACAAAGCATTTATGTCAATTATGTCATTGGAATCCACTATGGGCCTACATTGATCTATAATATTTTATGGAGGTACATCCAGCTGTTTGAAGCTTAATAGAAGAATAGAAAATAACTCTGTTGTCCCACAATGGGGAAATAGTGGTGTTACAGCTTTACACCACTAATCTCACTCTAAGTCTAACAGACTCCTTCTTAAGGCCAATTTATACTTTTGACGCATAGCCTCTGCAACCATCAAATCTGTCTCCGTGCAGAGCTTCTGTCGTTGCGCATCTCAAAAAATCCCAACTATGAGTTGGACAGTCGTAAACCCGCGCAGACATAATGCAGCTGTGATTGGTCCTTGTTATGCCTTTACGGCTGTCTGTGTGGTTGTCCTTCTCGATTCGGTGCCGGGGCACGCCATTTTTAAAAGCCGAGGAACAACTACGACGCGAGTTCTCGAATTAGGCCCCCCTTGTGCTTTGGCGGGAAACTGCTAGAAATTCAAGACCGACGGTGCAGATGCATACCAGCAATACTGGTTCGCCCAGACCCAAGCGACATTTGATGTATTTGGTTACAGAAGTATAATCTGCCCTTTAGACTGGAGGTCGAGGAATAGCTGATAAAAGTCAGCTTTTCAAGGATTCATTAAACTATTTTTTTTCCCAAACTCATACTTTTGTTTGTAGTACTGAGAGATACTTGTAGAATGCACTATAAATACTATTTATCATCATTGCTAATCATCTGAATCAAGTAATTATTACCCGTCTTTTACAGCCCCACCCAAACTGTCAGAAAGACACGCAGTTTACCCATTTAAATGGGCCGGACAGAACCGGTTCTACACGTATCCATTGCCCACGCAATCTTTGTAGATCACCAGAAAACGCCCACTTATTGCATGCACAATACTTTATTGCTTGAGCGATGCAGCGCTCCCATAGGCGGTTTTAGACCGGTGCCAACAGCACCCGCTGCCCCCGTAGAACCGGCCCTGGCCCCCATTACGGCCTCTAAACTGCATTTATATCAATATAATTATATATCAAATTTTAAATATGATATATAATGCACTGACCCGGAAACTGGAACTAAATACGGTAATGTTTCACAGGGAATCTTTAGAGCGCTGCGCAATCACTTAAGATTTCTGATCAGGAAAGAAGAACAAATTACAGACGAGTTGGATGACTAACAGGAGAGGGTGTAAAGAGACGGAGGAAAGCAACAAATATGATTTTTTCTTGAAGCACCGTTTGGCTAATCTTCGAGTTTAACTGTTGTTTTTACTCCATTGAAACCTGGCATCATTGTTTAAACTTTTGCTTAATGCAGTCCATACAGCGTTAGAAACTAATTTAATGTTTTCTTTCATATTATTACTTTAAGGGTAAAATAAATATAAACTCCCCAGTTTTAGCCTTAACCATATTTGAGATACTATCAAAGTTGTATCAATTTGATATTATCATTTATTTTCATGCAGCACAGGAAACGTCGTGGTCATGAAGACACATATTATTTTTTACCATTGTTAGCCAAAAAAAATGTAGAGAGAGGGAGGATGATGATGACTGAGCTGAGGAGCAGGATGAAAGAGAGAAAGAGGGTTTGGTTGGTGAGGAAGTTGATATTGAGAGGTCAGAAACAGAAACTTTCAATCCTGAGAGTGAGGAAGAAAGTGTAGAGAGAGTTAGAGGCAGAAAGGACAAACAGTGGATCATCCATCACATGTATCAAGTACACAGCCATCAGGTGTGTGATGTTGAACAAACCTGTGTGAGTGTGTGTAAAGTGCCTGTAAAACATGCCAATTATTGCACAGTAAAATGGAAACTAAAAGTACAATTTTCTTGAAATGCATGTATTGGTTCTTCATTTGAGCAGGTTAACAATCTTTTCTGCCAATGGAATAAGTATTTTGACGTTTGCAATAAGAGAAGACATACTGCACTTGAAATATGATGATTGGGATTACATGTTCAAATCAAGGACAAATACACTCATTCATAAAAATTACTTTCAGTTACCTTTTTTTTCAAGATGATCTTAATGGATTATAATGAATAAACAGATAAAATTAACAGCTAATGAATCCACTAATGCTCTGTTACATTCATTTCTTTTCAGATATCAGTAAGTGCATGGATGGTACCCTATGCAGCCTAATTTAAGGATATTTCCAACCACAGTAATGGAGGACAGAAGATGCAGCTTTCAGACAAGCTGGTATAAAAGTCATCCTTGGGTTGAATATTCTGTAAATATGGATTCTGCCTACTGCCATCTATGCCTGCAGACAGTTCAGGCCCTCAAGCTATTTAGGCAGTGTGTTTGACTCACCATGAGGCTTTAGGAATTGGAAAAAAGCTACGGGTAGAGACAGTGGAGTTGATCCATTTGATTGAGCCATACAAAGAAGTATTCTGCTAGCTCTTTAGACTGAGCAAAATCACCTTTGCACTTCCAGTGAGCTCTGCCACTGATGAGGGGAGTTTTTCTAAACAAAAATTAGTCAAAACCTACCTTCGGTCCACCATTACAGATGAACGCCTTAGTAGATTTGGGATGCTAAGCATTGAATCCAAGAGGGCAAAGACTTAGAACCTTTTGCAAGACTATTTTGCAAGATATAACAAACGAAGAATACTAATATTGTAGTGTTTCAACGTTTGTTGTTCTTATGTGCAGAATGTGAAATATACATTTAGTTTCATTGGTGCTCTAAATATGAATTAAAACATGTGGAAATGTAAACTTACAAGTCGTACGGAAGTCATATTCAAATGTCATATCATTCTGGCTTAAACATGTATGTAAATATACTCTTTATCAGTATTGATATCGTCCCAAAAGTTAGAAAATTTCTATAAAAAAAAAATCCTATCTTAAAATCTTTGGGTGGGTTTTCTTGTTTCTCTTATGCAGGCGATTTAGTTATACGTCAGCTTGTACACCTAAATTCGGCCAATCATAGATCAATGGTCATCTGTCAATCACATTTTTTTCGGTCATAGCATCTTCATATGTCGCAGCTTATACACGCAACGGTTCAAAAAGAGCTAACAGAACTTGCAGAGTTGCGAGCCGAGGGCTCAAACATGTACGGCTGTAAGCCTTCTACACCAAACCAAACTTCTGCCGCCCTGGCGTCCTCTTCCACAACATCTTCGTCCCCGCTTTCCTCCTCTAAATAAAAAATGTATGACAGAGGAGACTCATCCACGACCTCCGACACAAAACTCTCCTCCTCTTGCATGTTTCTGCTGCCCATAGCATTCCTTGACAGTGTCGTTGCTAAGTGCTACTTGGTCCCAATTCATTTTCCCATTGGGAACCTACTAGCACTAAGTTGCTAACTGGTTAGCAAGATGCTTCCGACAAACCGGTTACAACCAAATTTGCTTGTGAACCTTCCGCCACAAAAATCCTGCCTTTTAGATAAACGACCAATCACATTCGATTTATTAATTCGTGTAAAGTTGTGCACCACTTGCAAGAATTCGGAAATGCAACGGTTGGAACAACCGCTTCCCTACGACTTTAACAAAAATGTGTGAAACAATTGAAAATATGTCTTATAGTGTAGGTTCTTCAAAATAACCTCCTTTTGCTTTGATGAAAGCTTCACACTCTATTGGCATTCTCTTGATGAGCTTCAAGAGGTACAGTAGTCACCTGAAATGGTCTCCCCTTGACGTGTCCCTTTTCAGGTTTAATAAGTGGGATTTCTTGCCTTATAAATGGGGTTGGGAATATAAGTTGTGTTATGCATAAGTCAGCTGGACAAAGCTGATATTCCTACTGAATAGACTGTTAGAGTTTGTATTAGGCAAGAAAAAAGCAGCAAAGTAAAGAACAAAAGAGTGGCCATCATTACTTTAAGAAATGAAAGTTAGTTAGCCCGAAAAATTGGGTAAACTTTCAAAGTGTCCCCAAGTGCTGTCGTAAAAACCATCAAGCGCTACAAAGAAACTGGCTCACATAAGGACCGCCCCAGGAAAGGAAGACCAAGAGTCACCTCTGCTGGGGAGGTTAAGTTCATCCGAATCACCAGCCTCAGAGATCGCGGGTTAACAGCAGCTTGGATTAGAGACCAGGTCAATGCTACACAGAGTTGTAGCAGCAGACAACCACTGCTAAGGACAGGGAACAAGCAGAAGAGACTTGCTTGGACTAAAGAACACAAGGAATGGACATTAGACCAGTGGAAATCTGTGCTTTGGTCTGATGAGTCCCAATTTGAGATCTTTGGTTCCAACCATTGTGTCTTTGTGCGACGCAGAAAAGGTGAACGGATGGGCTCTATATGCCTGGTTCCCACCGTGAAGCATGGAGGGGGAGGTGTACTGATGTGGGGGTGCTTTGCTGGTGACACCGTTGGGGATTTATTCAAAACTGAAGGATACTGAACCAGCATGGCTACCACAGCATCTGACCGCGGCATGCCATTCCATCCGGTTTGCGTTTAGTTGGACCATCATTTATTTTTGAACCGGACAATGACCTCAAACACACCTCCAGACTGTGGAAGGGCTATTTCACCAAGTAGGAGGGTGCCGTGCCACAGGACCTGGCCTCCACAATCACCGGACCTGCACCCAATCGAGATGGTTTGGGGTAATCTGGACCGCAGAGTGAAGACAAAAGGGCCAACAAGTGCTAAGCATCTCTGGAAACTCCTTCAAGACTGTTGGAAGACCATTTCAGGTGACTGCCTCTTGAAGCTCATCAAGAGAATGCCAGGAGTGTGTGAAGCAGTAATCAAAGCAAAAGGTGGCTACTTTGAAGAACCTAGAATATAAGACATATTTTCAGTTGTTTCACACTTTTTTGTTAAGTAAATAATTCCACATGTGTTCATTCATAGTCTTGATGCCTTCAGTGTGAAAATAAAGAAAACTCTTTGAATGAGAACACTGGCCCCACCTTGGCTCCCCTGGAAAATTTGTCCTAGAACCACCCCTGAACACTCCTAATTCAAATTTGTTGAAGATCAGGCCTTATGTCAAACAGTAATATATTGATGAACAATTCCCATTTGATTTACAGTTAAAAACTCTAATTCAGTTTGGTTAAGATCAGAATTGATCTTAATATTTTTCCAACTTCTTCAATTTCTAGGTTCTTTGTACATTATTGAAGCTGGTAAATTGCTTAACACTTCAGGTGCACGGTGCAATATCATTTTTTTTCTTTAAAAAGAGGCTGATAAAACAACAAAAGAGGCAGTTTCCTGAGCAGGCAGATGACCAAGAAAACTTGAGAAAACACCATGAGTCAGGGCTGCTTTTACAACATTACATCACTACACAGAACTCTGCCATGCACAAAAATCCCACTCTAGTGTGATGACTTCACCTGGACGAAGAAGATGAAGTGCTTGAAGGAGGTGTTGAGGTGAGCCTCCTCCTGCAGCTGCATCACAGAGTCAAAATGTTGATGATAGATGTGAGCGTAAACCCTGAAGAGGCGCTTCAGGATTGTTTTGGCCACAGACATGAAATTCTTGGGGAAAGGAACTCCTGCAAAGTAAAAAATATATATATAGATGAAGGGTTAAAGGCAAAAGAACAAAATGAAAGATATAAGGATCTTTTTGCTCTTGTAACCAAAATAAAAGTGGCACGTAACTTCATTGCACAATTTAATTTACCTTTATATGTTCTTAAGATGAAGAGGTTTAAAATGTGTAAAACAAATCAAACAAATAGGAAGGCTTAAGTTTAACCAGAACCACAATATTTTCAGCAAAGCCCTGGAATAGAGCCATCTCACCGATCTTAGAAGGAAAAAGCGTCTCATCGTCCAGCTGATCCTGCACCCAGGTCATCAAGTAGTCTATGTACTTGGGAGCAGAGCATTTGATTGGCTTTTTAATATTGGTCCCATCGGCCCAGTGGTACTCATACCTACACGCACAAAAATAATGGTTCAATCAGCAGGCAAAGACAAACTAATGAACTAGTTTAAGGGCAGATTGGATTAAAAAAATGATAAAAGGGAAATGTAAATTTGACAGCGTTCATGCTAAAAAGGAAGAGAAACCCACACCCAGCACAAACAGTCTTGGAAGGACCGAGGATAGAGGAAGTGCCAAATCAAGATACTAACTAAACAGCTCCCCCAGCAATCACATGCAAAGTTCATTTCCTGTTTTCCCTCATATGACCTACAGAACAAGTGTTTGTCTATCATTTTGTGTGGAAATAAAATGAATGTCTCAAAAAGACAATCTGCACAAAACGATAAATCAGATATAGTAGCTCTGGTATGGGAACCTTTAACCAAACTCAACATCTGCTGAAACACACTCTTACTATCACAAAGGTCTGGTAGTGTAGAAATTTTACAAATTTGACCAAAACAGACACAATATTTGAGTTTCCTCCCAACTATGAATTATAAGTAATAGGATTAGTTTAAAAATAATTGCTGAAGGAGTTTCTATTACCTTGGTCCTGCAGACATCACAGGGCAGCTGGTCTCGGTGCAGAACTCAGTGATGGTGCCATAGAGCATGTTGATCTGGTTGAAGAAGTCCACGGCTGAAGACAATATGGAAACATGGCGGTGACATCAGCACAGAGATAGAAGAGTTATGAGTTTACATCTCAGCAACGCTGACAATAACATGGCAATTAGAAATAGATGAAACTATACAAATCAATGAGTCAAATGTTCCTTTATTTAAACAATGCTCCTTAAATTAATATGCAATTCCTTAATAAAACACTTTCAAGACACCTAAAAACATTCATTCAAGGATACCAAACTACATATACTATAACTAAAAAGACTTGATTGTTTCTGAGTAGAAGTAGTTTAGGTAACCTTGGTTGAATTTCTTCATACTAATTAGTAGAAAATTACAAACTAATTACAAAAATATTTGCAAAGACCACCCATCCCTCCTTTTCTGCCCCTTCAACTGAATCGCTTGAATTCAGTTGGAGGAATTAGCCATACCCCTCACAGACCTAAGTTTGACAGAGCAATGACATTTAGGTCTCCTGCACAGCCAGAGTTGGACCTAAAGCTGAGAAGAGGCAGGCACAGATTAGGGTGATGGTGAGGAGGCCTTATTCAAGTTGAAAGCTGGTCACCAAATATTAAAACTCTGAGCTATTTGAAGCAAATCAAGATTTCGTCCTTAAATTATGAGAAAGATAAAACAAATTTTGACATGCATTTTTAAATTTAGTACATACAGATTTATTTCAATCTCTTTAGAGATAATTAAATTTTCTTAAATAAATAAGAGATAAAATTTCATAGTTGAAGGAAAACAACTTAAAGGAATATGAATATTTTTGGGTACAGATGGGTGATATGATTATAAAAATATAATCTCAAATTTTACTATCGCAAATCTGGTTAATCTTTTTTTTTCTCTCTTAAGTGTCCGTTACATTCATATCCCATACATTACTTAAAAAACATAGCTTTTATTTCAAGCATCATTTGGGAGGTGGCCTTAGCTTAAAGGGCAACAAAATTCAAGCTATGAAACATGCATGTAAAACAATCATGTTTCACAACAAACAATGGATACAAAAACTGAGGTGCTGATCTTCAAATAAATAATTGGGCGTGTTGAGGTTGTTCTACAAAGGTTGCAGCACCAAGCCAAGGAAACCAATTACCATTGGCAGTTGAAAGTGGTCATAAAAGAAAGAAAAGCTTCTAAGCCATGTAGTAGGACACAATAATAAAAAAAAATATTCTAAATAGTATTTGTAGAGCCCCTAACATAGGTAGCAAATAGGAGTGGGAATTTGGCATTTCTTTTATTGTTATTATGATAAATTTCTAGTCATACCAATTTTGATTTAGTGCCTAAGAAATAAAGTAGACTTAGTAATGATAAACAAAAGGTCATTTTTTGAGTTGAATTATGAATTTAAATTTTTTTTCTTCTTTTTAGTTAATTTTTTTCCAATTGGGCATTGGTGAATCCAAATATTATGATTAAATACAGCTACTAGAGTATATTTAGTGATATAAATCAAACTTCTTTGTTTAACTGGTGTCCTGAAAAAGCCCATTTAAAATTTGTATAGTTTTTCAAGAGTAGCGATTATGTTGCTCTGATTGTTGAATGACTTCAAAGAGTTAATGAAAAGTGTTTTTATGGTGAGTTTTATCATTATCACGATAGCGCCACAAAATATTGTGAAACGATTTAAGGCCATATCCCCAAATCCTAGTAACAAGCAAAGTAAAAACTAAAATAATGATAAAGTTGAATAAAAAAGGTTGAAAAGTTTCTTGTTAAAACCTTGTTTCCCTGCTGCCAACTGCGCTAATCATGGTACTATCTTAATTATAGTTCTAAATGCCCCTGTTACAATTTTACAATTTAGACCAGCGTATGCCTGACGTACGGAAAATCTGGCAAAAATGTTGGCATACGTTGGATAAGTTATGGGTACATTATGTATAAGTAATGAGCACGCTGCAGTACGCTGAAGCACGCTGGCACACATAGACATACGTATGTTATCTTATCGTTGACATACATTAAGTGTAAGTTACTCATATGTCGTGGCGTCTACTTGTGCAAAACTTATGCGTAACTTTTTAAGAACTTATCTCCAATGTATATCAACGCATTTGACATGTTCTAGACGACCGCTAGACATGTTTCTAACTTACAGCTACTGTATAATGGTGTTTTGGCAGGATTCTGGTACAAAAGGGGGTTCATAGGAGGAAACCTAGCAGACATGACACTGAATCTTCTGCGACTGCAAACCTTTTTTCTTTCTTTTTTTTGGCGGGCGTATAACAGCAGCTAGGTTAATACATCAATTGAAATCTTTTTGTACAGGCTGAGCGCCTCCGGGCGCATTGCTGCCCCTCTCAGGACACTGGCTTGTGCATAATTTCATGGGCATTACGCTGCCATGCGTTATGCTGTTGTTGGACACACGCTCTTGACTCCTTATGAATGCGCTATGCACACACCAAAAATTTAAAATATACATCGAATATACATCGGAGATTCTGGGATGTCAGGCATATGCTGGCTAAATCGACAAGGTGTGACAGGGCCCTAAAGAAAATCTGACCTGTCACGTCAAAGGTTTACAAAGACAAGAAAAATAAGCCACAGAAGCCTAAAACACACTGCAAAAACGATCTAGAAATTATTCAACAATTATTTACCCTTAATTTGAGCAGATTCATAAGATGATTTACCAATGGAATGGGTATTTTTTACCCTTAAAATAACATATTAGATATTATGGACTCGAAATAAGACAATGCAATGTTTTTTTTTTTTCTTTTTTAAATGCTAATTGTTTTGTTCCATTGGCAAAGTGTCTCACTAACTCCATAATTCAAGAACAAATGCACTTATTTTTAGAAAAAATATGCTTATCTAGATTTAGATTTTTTCCGTATAATGACATAATGAAAATGGCTGAGCCAATATTTATCAGTTCCATGAGTGGCAGCTGCATGATCCATCATGGGCTGACAACTATTATCTGTCGAGTACATCTGTATTTTAAACCTGAGCATTCCCATTTGATGGAAAATTTATTGGTTCTGTGTACCCGTTTTTATGCAGCATATTTAAATTAAACTGTGATCTGTTAATCTGCCTCCTAGTGGACATTTTTTTGCCCCTAATATTAAGATTATTTACAGTTTTTCACATGGGTGTATATGTATTTAAACACAAACACACCTTTTATTTTACATTCAATCATTAAAGATTAATCTAACACCGGCCTCTATTAAAAATGTAAATAGTCACTTAAACACTGGGTGTGTTGGCTCATTGTAGTTGTTCACTCACTGTTCACAGCGATCCATTCATTGAGATCCTCTCCCTCTGGCAGCATGACAGCCTGTCTCAGGTTCCCGCTGCCCAGCGTCGCCTCGGCGTGTTTTAGCAGCTCATACTGGTGCGATCCTTCTGGGATGTTTTTCTTCGGCTTGAAGGTCTTAGATGAGCGACTGCCACTGCAAAAAAATGAACGGAGAACTTAGCAACCGTGTGTAAACATAGGACGGCTGTACAAGAGCCATCTGGAGGTTTGGAGAAATCACTTTGAATCTTCTTCAATGTTACATTTAGCACTCATGTTTTCATGTTTCTGAGGTTTTTATTTTTAAGTTTCTTTTCAAATGTATAAGCTATAACAATAGAGTTAGAGCCTTTGGATGTTTCTAGCATGACAGCTGCAGTTCTTCCCCTGGTTAGTTAGTGGTTAGTTTTCTGGATATGATTTTGATTTCTTCAACCTTGCAGTTAAGAGGTGAGACAATAACAGTTCGGTTAAAACAGACATCTCATTCTGTAGTCACCCTCCTATTTGTTCATTTGACAGTTCTAGGTCTAAACAGAGGTATGTGTCTTGAAGACCTCAAGAAATTAATTCAGAGGTATTTATACTCCCCTTTGCACCTTTATTTCCTTTCCACAGTTGACCATTTGGTCTCCTCCAGCCTTCATTAAACACAATCCTACCCTATTGTATATATATATATCATTTTTAAATAACTGTGGGGATACAGTGTATCGTAAGAAAAAAATATATATATCTTGAATCACAATATTTTTAACTGTATATTATTTTCTAAATCATTTACATTACATGCTTTTAGTAGATGTGGCCTTAATTTCCCCAGTGAACTTTGTGACTTTTATGAAATATGGTGGATTTAGACCCCTAGTTAAATAACCTGGGTTAGAGGCAAAAAAAATCAAAGTTATCTTTTTTCAGATCTGATACAAAGTATCTGCAGCAAAGGGACAAATTCACATTTTAGAACTGGGGAGGGAGAATTATTTGCACTTGCTATATAATCGCATTCAATAAAACGCAATTTTCAAATCGCAGAGGCACTCAACTGTGGTCACATTATATTGTTACTGCAGCCCTTTAGGTGGCGGTTAAACCCTTAAAGTGGGTTTGCCAGCATACAGAAAGGCAGAGTGTTTTGCAGGTGGCATACAGAGCCATGCATGCCAGTAGCAGTAGCACCTTTTCACATAAAGGTTATAATACAGTCTTGCAACAATGGACTCTCGAAAGTAGGCTATTAAGATCATAAATAAAACAGAAACCCTAAAATGAAACATCTACAAGCTGGTGGTTAGTGCAAAGGAAACGAGATAAAATTGCATTATTGGTTAAAAATTCTAACCAACCAACGCAATTTTTTGCCAAAATCTTTAAGCCCTATTTGGAGTTAAAAGTCTGATTTTAGATACAAGGCCATAACTGCAAATATATGAGCTCCTGAAGGGGCTAACAGAGAAGATCTTTTTCAGATCTGATCTGCTCGGATACTTCAGCTTCTAAAAGTGCATGTAAAAATGAATTTGGATTAAAAAAACATTTACAAGATCACAAAACCTATAAATTAAGCAAAAGGGAACATTTATAAACCACAACTACTGCTAAAACCTATGGCTCCAACAGTTAGGCATTTTAAATGTGGGGTATAATTTTCCTTTACTTTTCTGCAATTCTTTTTTTTTTTTTTTTTTTTTACATAAATCAAATCTAGTGAAGTTCATAAAAAGATGGCATCCTTAAAAGCGGGCTCTCTCCAGGCCATTGGGAGGGGGAAAATACATTTCTATTCAAGATTGAGTAACTTCAAGTAGTGATCTTTTGAGTGGGCACCTAGGAAACTGTTATCTTCACCATGTATTATCTTTAATCAATTGTTTCTTTGTTGTTGTTTTTTTTTTTTTTTTTTTGTAATCTAAAAAAAAAGCGGTGGTTTTTAGTGGAACATAAGCGATGTAACCCAGTGTGTGCGCAACAGACAGGAAATGTAACTGTATACTCTGACTGTAAATAACAGGAAGATTAATTAAGTATGAGTGTTTGGTTTGGAGGGCCAAAAAAGATTAGAATATATATTTATATTTTTTTAGAAATAAAAAGCAATGCAGATGTGGAAAAATGCACCTCTAACATAATAAATTTTTCATCTCCGGGTGTTGCCAGTCCTACAGATTAGTAATGTCAAACTAGTCTGGCCATATTTATTCTCTAGCTAACTATATCTGCGTCTCATAACTCCAGTAAGTCCTCTCGCTATACATTAAGAACAGCCATACATAGTTTTAAACGCTAACTTGTCTGATACTAAAGATTAAAAAACAAATTTTATTAGGATTTAAGTTAACCGTTGCTGTTTTGAGATGCAGCTGACTGGTTTTCAGTCTCTGCTAACTTCCCTTGTGAACTTCGTAGAAGCGCAGCTAACCGCAAAAGCTCCGCTCTGAGTCAGGAAGCAAACTGTTACTTTACTTACAACAAGAAGCTCATCCTGACGAAGGCGCTGTTGAAGAGTCTGGATAAGAACTTCGGGTTCGGATTTAAAACGTAGGAATATGCTTTTTTAATGTATTTATCAAGATGAAGAACTATCAACGACTTAGCGTCAAGCGAAGATGAACTGCACCCACACACTGGCTCTTCCTCTGTTGGTTATCTGTCAGCAGACAGACTGTCGCCCCCTTCAGGCCACAGCTGGGTATGACATCTTTCTGTTCATTTCCATTCAACTCGGATAAAAAAAATATATACAATAAAAATACGTTGCGCCAGAGCTGTTCAAGATTTTTATTTATTTAGTATTTGATCAAACTATAATGACAGTATTGAATAAGTCACATTCAATACATTGTGTAAAAAGATATATAGCCTTCCTAATCGTATAAATATACAGTTACTTGACAGCATGAGCATGAACTAAATACTTTGATTATAATTTATATCTTATTTACTACTGCTTTCTGACATTAAATCTTTCCATTGCCTTTTTAGGTATTAACTGTCTAAATATCTGACAATGTAAGTAATACAATATTCTCTAAAGAAGTTCACCTGTCAGTGTATATTAAGAAGACAAAAACAAGATTATAATCTTAAATGGCACAAAACAGGAAAAGTTTAGACTAATTTCATGTCAGACAGTGCAGGTAAAAAGTTTTTTTTTCATGTTGTATGTAGACTTTTAGTTTCAATTCTTTCTTCTTTTTTTTTGAAATGTTTTTATTATATGACGCATACCACATATGAAGTTTTGAAATATTTCTGTGGTTAAATATCAATACTATTCCCATGGTAAACCTGTCAAATGTCAATTGTTGTCTAGTTGTTTCTGGATAGGAAGTAATGTTGCTTTGAAAGGTAAGTAAAATATGCTATTTTTTGTGATACCATCCATCTTTAGATAGAGGCGGAGAGTCAATCTGTCCCTTACTCTTAATGCTATTGTTGCAAACATGACTGAGTCATCTGGAAAGAACAGGGAATCCTCCGAGCAATAACAATAAAAGAAGATTACGGAAGGAGTCTGAAGAAGAGATTAAACATTTCGACAAAGAAGACCTACACAACTTTTTGGTTTTACTAAGTTTAGTTCTAATAGCTTAATAGGAAGTAATTCATATTTACAACTCACATGCCAAAACCATTTTAATCAAATTCTCACTTAAAGCCCAAGTTCTTGTTTTATTCATATTGCCCTCCTATTCACATCTTTGTAATTATGTCCAACTGTTTTTTTGTTTTTTTTACATAAACCTTTTTTTAACCATAGCCTTATCAGCAAATAAGTTGTTTTTATTCAAATATACTTTCTGGATTTTGCTATCACAAAGCTAATAAAATCAGATACGTTATGAGACATGATGCCCATTAAGACATGATTTATAACATTTATATAGGCTTTCCTAGGTTGGTTACCTAAATGAAGCGGTGATGTAACTTGAAGACTTTACTAAACTCATGCATTTCGCCATACTAACCTGTACAATGGTCAGAGAGGAGTCCCAGAATGCATGAAGGTCAAAGTTCATTCCTCTGCTCATCGCTGCTGTTACCAATAAAGCACCACTGGACTGGGTCTACCTCCCTGTCTGTGGCAGGCTCCCCCACTTTAACAAACACAACGTGACATAATCTAGCACATTAGTGATAAAAACACAGGCCACACCTGCACAGGTACACAAGAAGGTCACTAAACTCATGCATTCGATGGAAATTGTTGAAATTCTCTGGATAAGAAGCTAAATCAGTACTATCCTAAAGCGTAAATGGTAATCAGTGCAGTGTAACCGTTAACTTGTCTAGCTTGTTTCCATTTTTTTCATTTTATTTATTTGTTTTCTCTTTCTGTCTTTCTCTCTTCTCTTTCCCTCTGTTATTGAAGGGTTTTTTTGTATTATTACTATTGTTGTATTGGTAAGAGTATTTTTTTTCTTGGAATGTATTTTTTTTAAATATAGGTATGCTTTATACTCGGGTGTGTGATTTTGTATGTTGCACTTTGAAAACTTAATAAACATATATTTAAAAAAAAAAAAGAAGCTAAATCTTGACCTGAGGAGCCTTTTAATAAAAGCAGAGGTAGAAGTGTTCAGTTTTCATGTGTACCGGTACTCTCACACACATCATAAAGGTAAATGAAGTGGTGCCTTTGTTGGATTTGCTCATTTCAATAGTGTAAAATTCTGTATCTTTATTAGGTATGTAAGTCCTATGTTTATATCCACGCTGTTGTTTAGCATTTTAATATTTCACATGTGATGTTAAATGTGTGTTTTTCTGTTAGAAAATAAAACGATGTGGGATTGCTGACAGGTTAGGGATGCTGAAAGGTTAACAAACAAAAACTGTCTACTGACACTGCAAGCTTGCTGAGGAGGAGGGATTGCCTCTCGTGACTCATAGTGATATCATTAGCTGGCATGGAAAAGAAGATCTGCCCTGACTGGCATAACGGGCTAAATCTGAAAGTGTTGGACTGTGGTTAAATATTATATACAAAAGATCAGTTTGCCTTACGAAGTGCCTTGAGATTAATTTTGTTTAAATCTAGTGATATGTCCTGAAACTGAACTAAATTTAGTTAATAGTGCTGTAATAGGCCATTTATCCTTTAAAAATAGTTACGTTGCAGTATCTGAATTGAATTTAGGGCCAGACCTTGGTTTGACGACAATATTTTCCTATTCTTTTGGTTGTAGCATTAGTTTTATTCTTTGGGCCAATTTCACGCTGCACAATAAAAGTGTAATTGAACTTAAGGTCCGGATTGTGGCTGATTCCTCACACCCCAGCCACGAACTATTTCAGTCACTTCCCTCTGTCATGAGGATGCAGTCCATCAGGCCCAAAACCTCACACCACAAGAACAGTTTCTTCACATCCCCTACCAGCCTTATCAACAAGGCACAGAGACCCCCATGACACTGCCTCTCTCCCTCCCTGTTCAGGACCTACATTAGATAATGCACAGTCTACTGTGTATATAGTATATAGCTATGTATGTACTACGTACTACGTCCTGTTTCTCTAACCGTGACTGAGTGGATGTGCTCTCTTCGTCCTCTGGCATGGGAGCTGCCTTGGAGCTCGTCTGCCTGGCTGTGTGTTTCCTGGACGGGGCCGCCTTTTACAGCTGCTTTTTGTATCTCTGCTTCTGTCTCCTTGAACCCCAGTCGGCCTCGGCAGATGGCCGCTCACACTGAGCCTGGTTCTGCTGGAGGTTTCTTCCTGTTAAAAGGGAGTTTTTCCTCTCCACTGTCGCTACAAGCATGCTTAGTGTGGGGGATTGTATTTGAGTCAATGAGTCAATGCAATCAACTGGTTTTCCTTAGATAGAAAACTTTGTATCAATTTGACTGTATGATCTGGTTGAACTGTAAAGTGCCTTGAGATGACATGTGTTGTGAATTTGGCGCTATATAAATAAACTGAATTGAATTGAATATTGTGTATAGTTTAATGTATGTTTTATATTGTATATAGCTCTAGATTCTGTATGTATATCTAATTTGTCTGCATCGTCAACACAAAGGAAAATTCCTTGTAAGTGCAAACTACTTGGCAATATACTTGGTTCTGATTCTGATAGAATGTTTTTCCCATAGAAGTTTTGAGAACTTTAGCTTTGCTATATGGCAATCAGGAGACTGGACATTTATGTTGTGTTATGTTTGCTCGTCTCTTTGATATTGTTGATTCACTTAAACGTTTGACTGAAGTGAATCCTGAGCTGCTTTACAAGTTTAGGGATGATTCATGACCTCCTGGTTGCATGGCAGACTGTGCCACTCCCAGAGAGGTTCACCACAGCTGTATGTTAAGTTGTAGATTATTGCTCTAATTTTGGCTGTTTCCCCATAGTCCTGAAAATAGCCTGTAATCATTTTACAGCCTGACAGACGTCAAAGACATTGTTTTTCTACTTTTTTCCTCTTAGAAGATGTGATGCTCTCTTTCAGTTTTTAAATAAGTTTAATTTGCATTATTTAAGAATCCAGCAGGTTAAGGAACAAAGTCTGGGGTTGGCTTGTGCAGGGAGCTCAGCTTTCTAAATACAGTCAATTTATAATCTAAGGTAAAATTGATTACTTTTTGTTTAAGTTAACTCTCAGAAGACATGAAAAATGAATTTTTAAAAAATGTATTTAATATTTAATTAACCAACAGCGTGAAGGGCAGATGTGGGTACATTCAAAAAGCAGTGGCTGTGGGATTCTGGTCCTCTGAAAAACAGGGCATAGGGTTAAAACGGAACATGACTGAGAAATGATTGCAACAGGCTTACTTATCAGAGTGAGATTCCTCCGCTAAGCAGAGGTGAGTGGGATCTAAGGCTGTGGCTGAGAAAAACGGGTCCTTCCAGTGGAGGTTGTTAGTGAAGTCCACAGCAGCGGCTGAGTGGACAGATTGTGCAAGGAAGAGCGGTTCTAGTCTATTTAGCTTCTCAGAAGAGTCTCTTAGAGTGAAAGCTCTTTGCTTAAAGGCTCGTTAACTCTCAGGGACAGTGTTCTGAAAAAACATGAACAAAATTACTTTGATGCACAGAGGTTGAAAGAGCACTGGAGGGCTTGAGAGTTACCAATCAGAATAACATGGAGAATAGTTGCCGTCCTTCTCCTCTTAAGTGTCCAGGTTGCTGATGATATGCAGATGTAGAGGCACCGTACCTGCAGCTGATGACCCAATGTCTGCAGCAGCTCCAGGAGAAGCCCTCTGTAGGGAGTTTTTTTTTTAACTTTTTTTTTTATTATTATTGTATTTTTTTGTGCCTTAAGTTTGTTGCTCCTGGTCCACACTCCTTACTGGTTAGTGGTGGTAATACATCAAACTCTTGTTCGCTAAAAAAAAATTAATTAAAAAAAATCAAGAAGAAAAAAACCCTCTTTTTGGACAAAGGAAAAATAACCCAGCCAGAACTACTCCTTGAAAATTAGTAGTTATTTTGCTGATCTGAAAATAAATTTGGAGAAAAAGGAAAAAAACGGGGATGAAGGTTTTTATACAGCCTCTCTACAAACTTTCTGTCTAACATGTGTGCTTCTCACTCTTCAGTGGCAGATCTAAAAGGATGAAACAAAAACAGTGCAAATTGTTAATTGTCTGTTATATATTTTGTTAACCAAAGAGCCATTTACAGCTCTGGAC